CCCCACGCCTCCCAGCCATCCGGGCAGACTCGGCCCGCTCCGCACCTCACACAGAACCTGCCGGCGTCCGCCGCCATCTTCACGCGAGCGCGCGCACCCTAGCCCCGCCCCTGACGTCAGACCACGTGACCGGGAGGGACTGACTTGAGAGTTGTGGGCGTGGTTTTGGTCACGTGGTCGCAGCGCGGAGTCGGGCCAAGATGGCGCTGTCCAGGGCGGCTAGGCGTCCTCGGCCGGGGCGGTAGGTGCTGTGAAGAACACGGAGGAGTGGCGTCGTCTGCACTGTCGGTTGCAGGCGGTGGAGGGTGAAGGCTCCGGCTCTCGGGCCGTAGTGAATGAACTGTAGCAGCGCTGCCTCTTTGAAGCTGGACAAGGTTGCTGGTCCGGTCCGCTAAGTGGGGTGAGGAGCCCGGAGGCCGAGGCGGTCCCTAGTCACCCGGCTTTCCCAGAGCCCCAGGCCTGGAGACATGACCCGAGAGTGTCCGGGCCCAGCCCGGAAGCCCGAGGCGCCGCCGAGCGGGCCAGTGCTGGCCGAGGCTGCGGTGGTGTTCGCAGTGGTGCTGAGCATCCACGCCGCCGTGTGGGACCGGTACTCGTGGTGCGCCGTGGCCCTCGCAGTGCAGGCCTTCTACGTGCAGTACAAGTGGGACCGGCTACTGCAGCAGGGCAACGCCGTCTTCCAGTTCCGGATGTCTGCAAACAGCGGCCTGCTGCCCGCCTCCATGGTCATGCCTCTGCTCGGGCTGGTCATGAAGGAGCGCTGCCAGGCTGCGGAGAACCAGCACTTCGAACGCTTCGGCGTCGTGGTGGCAGCCACCGGCATGGCAGTGGCCCTCTTCTCCTCGGTGTTGGCGCTGGGTATTACTCGCCCGATGCCCACCAACACCTGTGCCATCTCTGGTTTGGCCGGAGGTGTCATCATTTATATCATGAAGCACTCACTCAGTGTGGGCGAGGTGATCGAAGTCCTGGAAGTCCTGCTGATCTTTGTTTATCTCAACATGATCCTGCTGTACCTACTACCCCGCTGCTTCACTCCTGGGGAAGCCCTGCTGGTGTTAGGTGGCATCAGTTTTGTCCTTAACCAACTCATCAAGCGTTCTCTGACTGTGGTAGAAAGCCAGGGGGACCCGGTGGACTTCCTCTTGCTGGTGGTGGTGGTAGGGATGGTGCTTATGGGTATCTTCTTCAGCACCCTCTTTGTGTTCATGGACTCGGGAACCTGGGCCTCCTCCATCTTCTTCCATCTCATGACCTGTGTGCTGGGCCTTGGCGTGGTCCTGCCCTGGCTGCATTGGCTCATCCACAGAAACCCCCTGCTCTGGCTTCTTCAGTTCCTCTGCCGGACAGAAACCCGCATCTACCTCCTGGCCTATTGGTCTCTGCTGGCCATCTTGGCCTGCCTGGTGGTGCTGTACCAGAATGCCAAGCGGTCAGCTTCCGAGTCCAAAAAGCACCGGGCCCCTGCCATCACCCGGAAGTATTTTCACTTCATTGTGGTAGCTACTTACATCCCAGGAATTATGTTTGACCGGCCACTGCTCTATGTGGCCGCCACAGTATGCCTAGCAGTCTTCATCTTCCTGGAGTATGTGCGCTACTTCCGCATCAAGCCCTTGGGTCACACTCTGAGGAGCCTCCTGTCCCTCTTCCTGGATGAACGAGACAGTGGGCCGCTCATCCTGACACACATCTACCTGCTCCTGGGCATGTCTCTTCCTGTTTGGCTCATCCCTAGACCTTGCGCACAGAAGGGCAGCCTGGGAGGAGCAAGGGCCCTAGTGCCCTATGCTGGGGTCCTGGCTGTGGGTGTGGGCGATACTGTGGCCTCCATCTTTGGCAGCACCATGGGGGAGATCCGCTGGCCTGGAACCAAGAAGACTTTTGAGGGGACCATGACGTCTATATTCGCACAGATCATTTCTGTAGCTCTGATCTTGATCTTTGACAGCGGAGTGGACCTGAACTATAGTTACGCCTGGCTTTTGGGGTCCATCAGCACCGTGTCCCTCCTAGAAGCATACACGACGCAGATAGACAACCTCCTTTTGCCTCTTTACCTCCTGATATTGCTGATGGCCTAGCTCCCATCAGCAGCAGTGAGGGAGGAAGCAGGGACGTGGGGAGGATGAGTGGGCCCCACAGCAGAATACCACTTGGGCTGAAAGAGCCAAGGGGCAAAAAGCAGGTTTGGTTTTCAGGTGATTCAGACTGAAAATAAAAAGGCAAAGCTCTTCTGATTTTAGTTTTGCTGATACTCAAAAAGAAAAAAGGCCTAAAGGCTAAGTACACTATTTAGAGAACTTGGATGCACTGTAGAAGCCCCTTTTCTCTTGGAGTTTTGGGGAGGGGGCTGGAGTGGGCCCTGGAGGCAGGACATGATGGTTAGTGCTTCACATTCCAGCCAGAACCCCTGGCCACATAAGTCCTGACAGTGACCTTAGATGAAGCACTTCACCCAGCTAAGCCTCAGTTGTCCTACCTGCAAGAGAGGACAGCTGACCTGGTGTGACATCCAGCCTGTGGCCCACCCACGCCAAGCAGTCAGTAAGGGAAGTATCACTGTTGCCCAGGATGAGTCCTGATCTGAGCCAAAACCCAGGCGGGCCAAAGGGTTTAATGGGTTGTACTGGAAGGCAGAGTGACTTTTCCTCTCCTGGCTTGGCTTGGAGGAGGCCAGCTGGTCCCGCCCACTCGGGCTAGGAAGGGCCCAGGGAGCTCAGGTCCAGGGCTGAGGGCCCCTTTCAGCCAGCCCCACCCCACCCCTGTGCCCGGCTGACAGTGCTGATGGAGAATGAGGGACAAAAGAGCACCGGCTTCTTGTCAAGGGTCCCTCCTGAGACCTGCTCACGTTTCCAATGCTGTCCAAACTGCTGTTTGTCTCCTCTGGTGGCAAAGCCCGGGAGAGAGATCTGGGACTCTGAACCTTTCCACTAGGGTGCACGTGCTTGGGCCGGCTCTGGTTCTGAGCCTGCTTCCCCGCCACAGTCCCCAGGGTCACCCAGAGCCCCAGGCAAAGGAGCTGAGGGAAACCTTTGCCACCATTGAAAAGTAGCCCAGCAGGATGCCTAAGGCGGGACAGAATGCTCACCCAGCCTGTCAGAGGGGTAAGAACTTTGGCCTAAGAAGGCCAAAAGCCAGGAGCAGAGGCTCTAGGGAGCAGAATCACTGCCAAGTCCTTCCCTTGGAGAGAGGAGAGACATATGTGCCTTTAGGGCTGGGGAGTTTGTCCCCAGCTTCCGGGGGTGGCCAGCTGTTGAAGGAGCCCTGGTTACGCCCCGTTGACTCCCTGACTGCCCTTGGGAAAGGGCTCTCTGCTCCAGGCCTTACAGAGGGTAGAGGACTAAGCCAGGGGCACCCGCATGGCCCTCGAGGCCAGGCAGGTGACACAGGAATGAGGACGGGGAAAGTGTACTGGGCCTCGAGGCAGCGCCAGCCAATCAGTAGTCACAGTGCCAGAGAGTAGGCCCGGGGTCATCAGTTGCCAGTGCCTGCTCATTCATGGAAACCTAGGTTATTATGTGATATCTCCCACTTCAAAAGAAACATTTTTGCCAGGCATGGTGGTGCACACCTGTAATCCCAGCACTTGGGAGGCTGAGGCAGGAGGATCCTAAGTTTGAGCCCAGGCTGAGCAACTTTACGACTCAGTCTCAAGAGCCAGGGATGTAGCCTTGTGAAGGCCTTGAGTTCAAGCCCTAGTACTGGAAGGGAGGGGGGAACCAGTTTTGCTAGAGATCGAACCCTGGGCCTCAAACATGCTGCGCAAATGCTTTTCTATTGAGCTGCACCCTTCAGCCGAAACATTTTTCTAGTGCTGAGGCCCTGATCAAACACAACTGCAGTCTGGAATAAGCCAGTAAGAACCCAGCTGGCAACCTTTGGGCCAAAGCTTGGCTGAACAGGTCTGGGATTTGGTACCTGTTCCAGGTGTAGGTGCCCACCACACATGCCCAAGGGGAAGGGGCCCGGGAGGCCCCCATCCGGCTCCTTGGGCCCTGAGAGAGAGGGCCTGGCCTGAGGCCCCAGAGCAAGTCGATCACAGCACCAAGACCTGAACCTGGGACTGGATTCCTAGCCCCGGCTGCTGCCCACCTCCCTGGCAGAGCAAGGGGTGGGGGCAGGGGCAGGACCTTGGCCTGGAGCAGCTTGGGCAGCTCCCTTGCTGGTTTCTTGACTCGGTCCCTCGGACCACAATGGCAGATAGGAAAAACTGCTTCGGTGTGTGCGGCGGGCACTTGGTAAAATTAACGGGAAGCTATTAAAATCACTCAAATTAAGGTCAGGCTGGTGGTGCACCCTTCTAATCCCAGCACTTGGGCGGCTCAAGCAGGAGGATCGCTGTATGTTGGAGGCCAGCCTGGACTACACTCTGAAAAAATTAAAACTAAAATCATACAGACCGGGCCAGGCAGGGCTGGAGGACAGGGAGGATTCCCAGCAGGTTTTCAGCTGGAGAGCAGGGCTGCTTGGTGAAAAGGATCAGAGGGGAAGCTGCCTTCAGAAATCGCTTTTATTGTCTTACAACGCCACCATCAGAGCTGCATGTGAGGAGTGAGACTGGGCCTCATACCCCTCGAGGGGAGGCTGTGCTGAGGCATAGGGTGCGAGGGACTGAGATCTGGGGAGCCCGCTGGGCTCCTGTCAGCAGGGCTGAGGGCCACAGGGAGGCTCAGGACAGAGCGACTCCAGTCGCTGAAGCCGGCAGGTGCAGGAGGCCCTGGGGTCTGGGAGGCCACAGCCCCGCCCTGCACAGGCCTTAGGTGTACAGTGGGGGGAAGGGCAGCTCCACCGTGGGCTGGAGCCTGCAGAGAGCAGAGGAGGCGACGCTGGACTCTGAGGAGCCAGGACCCCGGCTCCAGCTGCTCCCCAGGAGGCTCCGGCGTACACACGCGCCACCTACCAGTTCTGCGGGCTCCACACCGTGCCCTCGGCCTCCATGAGGTGGAACGTGTAGGCGTGGCGCGAGCGGTCCGAGAGGTTCTGCGCGCTCTTGTGCACCACTTGCCCGTGGATCAGGACCAGGCCGCCTGGCGGGGGGACAGCAGCGCTCCAGCCCCCTCCCTGGGGCAGGAAGTTCAGTGCCCCCCGCGCGTGCCCACAGGGGCGCCTGGGACGAAGCACCCACCACCCACGCTGTGGCCCTGCGAGCTGATGTGGGCAGCAGCTCCACCGAGCGGCCCTCCGTGGCCCCTTTTCCGCACGAAGGCAGGGGCGCTGTTCGCTGTCCCTAGTCACCCGCGACAACCAACCTCACTGCCTTCCTCACTTTACACGGATTCTGTCATTTGCTCCGACAGCATCCCGTAAGTAGCAAAGTCTGGATTGTCGCCTGAGCGGGACAGCTCGCTGGTGACCGCACGTTCCCGCGCGACGACGCCAACCAGGGGGACCCTGGGCGGAGCCTCTCACTGCTAGGTGGGGGGTGAGCACAGACCCCCGGCACAGCCGCCTGCTCTCCGTGCCCCGCCTACCTCTCCGTACCGGCACCGGCACAAAGAGGCTGTCATCCCGCTCAGGCTCCGAGCCCAGGTAGCTGGTGCCCTCCGGGGCCCGGATGAACCTCCGCGGCACGCCACCTGCCGGCCGAGAGCGGGAACTTCAGCCCCTCGCCGCCGTCCCGCTC